TTCTCTCTTGCAGACTTGGCAAGTACCTGATACATGACTGTATTATGATCTCTCATATCTCCTCTCCTGCAGTCAGCACTTCTGAGTTGCAGTTTGCGGGCTGTTGCTCTTGTCTGCAGAGAGCTGCTATGCTATGCAAGTTGCTTCTGACAACTAAATTCCAAAAGAGCTGTGTTTGCTTCCAGCCTGCTCTCCTGTGTACCCAATAAATACAAATGACTTAGCTGTGCAAAAGATTAAGCTCTTACTGGAGTTTCTCATTCATTCTGCTGGCATAAAGTTTGTGTAATGTGTTGTGTGAGGATTTCAAAATATTACCTTTTGCATTTATTTTCCTCCAGAGGGACACAATCTCTTTTCTCTGGGCAAGAAACTGAAGCACAGTGAAATTTTGTATTAATTGATGACAAAGACTGGTGCAACCTACTGATTAGTTTTTGGCATGAAGATTCAAGAACTTCCTACTGATACAAATAGTTCTGACCTATTGCAAAATGTAAAGGTCTCATGCTGAGTGATTCTCAAGCAGTTCACATGACCTAACTCCAATCTTGGGACATTTAAAGACAACATTACAATATGTCTTGGCTTTGGAAGCTGTTCAGTCTCTTGGTGTGGCCATGCAGTGCACTGAGTAAAAACCTCTCCAGAAACCACTTTTTCTGCACCAGATCTGACCTCTGGTCTGACTATCTGACTCTTCATCACACTGGAAATTCAGAAGTGTAATGCATTTACTGGGGAGCTGTGCTTACCATGGTGTCATTCTGCTTTCCAGCTGACCAGAATGATGATGTTTTTACAAATAAACAAGTCTACACCCAACTCAGCCTGGTTGAGCCATTGCGTTTAACTGAGGAAGGAAAAATAAACAAAATCTGTATCTGGTGGTTCTTTATGACCTATTGTTCGATGTTATTACAAAAAATAATTCATTTAAATTTTTAGGAAAAACTTACTGGACTGAAAAAACTTCTGTTTGTGTTGAAGCTCTTTTTCTCCTTTGCTGCAGGAGTAACACTCTGTAAGTGGCTGGAGCGGTGGCTGCCCTTGTTTTGCTCATTTCATGATCTGAAATAAAACAGACACCTTGTAAACAGGAAAGAGGGGCAGCAAGTTCCTTTCATTCCAGGGCTAATCCCTAAAAATTAATGGAAGAGCTGTTTGTGTAGAGAAACAGGACTGTGGCTGTTAAATCTTGGGTGTTACAGGCTTTGGCTCTTGTCCCCTGTATTTTTTTTCCTCACCGTCCTGACCCTTTATTTTCACAAGCATCTTAATTCCTATCCTTAGAGTCATAAAATGGCCTGGCTTGAAAAGGACCACAATGCTCATTCGGTTCCAACCCCCTGCTATGTGCAGGGTCACCAACCAGCAGACCAGGCTGCCCAGAGCCACGTCCTGCCTTGAATCCTGCAGAATCCCCCTTGAATGCCTGCAGGGATGGGGCATCCACAACCTCCTTGGGCAACCTGTTCCTTCTTTTGCTCTTCTTTGATATTCATCATCTGTTTTGTCTATATAATGTTTTCTATGTATCCCTCCATGTATTCTGCTTAGTCTGCAGTATTTTCAGCCTATTCTTCGAAACAGCATTAGTAACTGTTAATTATTTTTTTCCTCGATTAATAGCTTACGGCTGCTGCTTTAAGCTGAGATTTGCATCAACATGTGAACGTGCTAAAATTGCAGGGCTGTGTTCCAGACTTATTCAGATGAAATTTGGGATGCTGTGGGTACCATGTTTTGGTCTCCACGGACTATACTGCTTGCAGCAATCTCTGAATATCAGTTCTTATTTATATTTCAAATGCTTTTACCGGTCAGGAACAAAAGCCCTGTTTATGTTCATGTTCAAAAAGATGCTGGCATTCACCCAGCCCTGGAGCCCTCCCTGACCTGTGTTTATTCTACAAAGAAACCGCTGAAATAGTGCTGTTTATTGCAGGCTCCAAATTTGGTTATTGTGCTTGCTTCTTCCATGAGCAGCATGGTCAAGACAAATGTGTTTGCTCTTTGCTGATGTGTACCAACGGCTGAATTCAATTTGCATGCGTGGTTCCTTACTGAAGCTCTGTTGAGCCCTGGGTGCTTGCCCTACTGGGAAACATGCTGTTTGCAGCTTGGCTTTTGCAGGAAAGAAGCAGCAGAGCAGTGCCAACGGTCTGAAATAGAGTTCCACTCATTTTCTATGTGTAGTAATGTACTAAGATGTCAAGCTGGAGGGAATTCAGAGTCATTACAAGTGGAAGGGACCACTGAACACAACTTCCTGCAAGTGAGTGTTTCAGGAGACAGCACTGGGGACCTTATTATATTCTTTTTGTGAAACTGCAGCATTTGCTCTTACTGTCGGTTGTTTTCTTGAATTTTTCCTACTGGATGTCATTTTAGACTCAACAATTGTGATTTGCTTATCTGACTGAATGATCCAGCTGTTTCCAAGGACAGTGTTGACTCCCTTGAAACTACTTTACATGAATAACAGTCTTGAGCTCAAGTATGTGAATAGTCTTGTATGGGCTGTATAAAGCTCATGGCTTTATTCCTTGAGATAACAGCTGTAGAGTGGCATCCACATGCTTCCCTGATGGGAGCAGTCACTCACTGACCAGAGCTGATCAGGGATGCTAACTGAAGATGTGACTGAGATGCTGATACTATGTTGGTCCTCTGCCAGATAGGTACAACCACCTACAGAAAAGTGGTCAGGGTTGGAAGCCACAACACACTCCTGCAGAGCTGCCCCCAGCCTCTGTGCAGGGATTGTTCTTGCCTCCCTGCTGTGCTGTATCTGAGTACAAAAATGAGATGAGGCATTTATTATTATGGCATTTATTATTATGGCTAAACAGCCATGAAAGTGGTATGCCCTCTCTATACACAAACCAACCAGTTTAGGATCGCTGTCTGATTGTAACCAACCATCTTCCCATTCTTCAGGCTCTTTTTTTACAATACTTACACAGAAGCGTTGGTTTTTTTTTTATTATTTTTAATGGGAAGGCCTGCAGAACTGATCAGTTGTCACGCTCATTTTTCTTCTGAAGCCACTTTGCAGCGTTTTCACGTGGAGGGGGTTTGTTTAGATTGAAGGAGGTGCTTTCAGCACTCTCCCTCCTCCCACTAGTCCAGAATGCCTTAAAGCAGAGCCCTGCTTATAGCTGAACCAGCTGCAGTGAGCCAGTGACCTGGGACACACGGCAGGCCCAGCATTGTGCCAGAGACCACTCCAGCTGCCAGCCCCCGTGGAACTGCTCTGCGAGCTCCTTATTGTTAGCGTGCATGAGCTACACGAACAGGTAGGAGAGAAAAGAGACTATCAGCTTTCTGAGTAATGCATGAGTTTTACAGCATCACTACTTGTTTTCATCCCCCTGGGGGGTTTAAAAAAGCAAAAGCTTTGCTAAGGGAATAAACGCCTCTCAAACACTGCTAGGGTCTATGGCAGTTGTTGCACAGTACCCCCCTTATATAGGTGTGGTGAGATCGATTCCTTGTGGTAGGATGTGCTTTGGCAGTCCATGCAATCTTATGATGGAGTTCAGTTATTGTTTAGACTGTATTTTTAGCAGCAGCCCTTTGTGACTGCATGGCAATGCAATTTATGAAGTAAGACACAACTCCTTAATTGTCTCTTATGTTGTAGAGCTGTACGCAGTGTTCACTGCAGCACTCTGCAAAGTAAACATTTCCTTCATTTATGGGGAAAGGGTTCTTGTCAACAAGACTTCCCAGCTTCTGGTCACATGCTTGAATTATCTCTGAGATGGGTTTTCTGGCAAATGTTTCTCAAGTTGATGCTGTTCATATGTAAATTCCTCATTAGCTGTGGGTTTTTCCCCTCCTTTTCTCCTTGGTCTTTGGCTTAAAATGTTAAGCATGAAGAGCAAGAATGCTGACCCGTTAAACAGAGATAACTCGTGCTTGCACCATCAACATGCCAAAGGGGAATGTCTGCCTGATCGTTCTCCTGGCACTTGGAAGTTAACAGAGAAAAACAGATTTCTGGAATTCTGAGGAACAAAATAAGAACTCACTCATGGGACACTCTTACAAGAAGAGCTTGCCATGAGAAAACATAATTTAACCTCCCAACTTGGGAGGTTAAAGGTCTTGGTTAAGACCAAGATCCTTGGTCTTGCAGGATCGCAGGATCATGTGGTGTGAGTTAGTAATTCAGGAAAAGATGCTTAGGTTGCAGCTGGCATCATGAGAGGCACAGCAGCACTCCTCTTGGTTAGTTTGTCTCTCTACTTATCCTTAAGTGTTGGAAAATTGGACACTTCCCCAAGTCAGTTGTTTTGCTAAGATGTTTGACAACGTGAGTCTGCAAAGGTACTTAAGGTAAAGAAATGATCGTTGTACATCTAAGTTGACATGCTGTTTTATTTCTCTGTAGTGAATATAAAGGTCGAATACTTGAGGTGAAACCATGATCATATTTAGTTGTAAGCAGTTTCCTTCCTCCTCCTCGCCGTGTCGCCATCTAGCCTCAATCAAAAGTCATCTGTTGATACTGGCAGTACACTTTGGTAATGAAAACTGGACATTGTTTTCCTAAGAAGCATTTAGTTGTGTACACTTGAGTTCATTGCCTTGGTGACGGTTTACAAGGAGGTTTTGTTAACTCTGCCAGCTGAGTTGTGAGGGAGCCAGGATGCCCACAGCAGGCAGTCACGATGAAGTGAGTTGCATACGTAGTCTCTTCTGTCTTCTGACTTCAGTAGGGTGTTACTCCATAGGTTTTTATAGGCATTCTTGAAATTAGAACAAGATTATGAACTGAAGGAGGAAAAAAAACCCCTTAAAGTAACTACATTTTTCTTCTGTCATGATGTGCTTGCCAGCTTTTTCATCCATAACTTGCAGTTTGTATTTTCCCTTCTCACTGTCGGGAATGCCAGTAATAAATACAATGCTAGCATTCTAAAATACACTACTTGAAGATAAAGGGAATAAACATTAGATTTTTTATTTTTTTTTTTTTTAATTTTTTAAGATAGAAATGCAGCTGAGTTGCAGATGGAAGTGATGGGCAGCATTGCAGTGTGGCTAACTAATATTGGGGTGGTCCAAACTGGAGCCATAGGGCTGCATGTTGCAGGTTTTCTCAGTGCTTCTATTTGTCTGCCAAGATTTTGGCCTTTTCCTTCCAACTTGAAGCTCTGCTTCTGTGCATCTCTAGTAACTAACTCTGGTGTAACACGTCCTGAAGACATCAGTTGGGTGTGACCTGTGTTGGAGGGCTCCCCTGGGTTTCACAGCAGTTGTTCTCTGTCAGCTTAGTGGTGCTGAATGGCTTTGGCGAGCAATCAAGTAAGATGCAGCATTGGCTGCCTAGCTTGTGTCTCAGCTGATGTAGTTACAGCATCATGTGTGCTTGCTTTTCATTTCAGTGCCTGGAGAACCACACAGAGCACCAGAGGAAGGAGAGGTGAGAGGAGAGCATGTTTGTAGCAGTTCCCCCTTCCTGGGAAATCCAGCAGCACCAGCTTGCAAATCTAGGCAGAACGTGCCTTGCTCCATGTAGAATCAAGTCAGACACATCCAAGTGCACATCTTGAATGCTGTCAGCTGTATATTGCTGAGGGAAAAAAAAAAAAAAAAAGAAAGGAAATTCACAAGTATTAAAAAGACCTCCTAATCCTGGAAGTCTGCGGCACGCCGTGTGTTTTGACTTACCCTGAGTTGTGAAGTGCTTTCTCAAGTAAGCCAAGTGACAACAAACATCTTGGGTTCTATATTGGTTTTGGAAGTAATTGAAAAAAGCTGTGTGTGGGGGAAATTCTCAGTGACGTAATAATGTAATGGAGGAGCAGTGTGCCTGTCTCACCTGTCCAGGAGCAATAGGATGTGGCTGAGTCCTGCAACCGCCAGCACAAGCAGCCAGCTGGTTACCTTCTGAATGTAAAGTAGTGCCAGTGCTTCCAAATTAGCTAAGATATTGTCAGCAGCATGGAAAATGCAGGAACAGGGTGCTCTGCCAGCATGAGAACTGGGCTCTTCGTGCGGGGCGGGCAGCTCATGGAAAAACTGAGCTCAGCTGCTGGGTGGAGACTGCACGAGGTCCCAACCTTTGCTGGTGACCAGGAAAGTAAGAGGGTTTGGTTGCTGGTGACCAGGAAAAAGAGAGCAGGGTTTGGTTGCTAAGGGAGGGCCCTGTTTTGCTTGTCTGCAGCCCCACACCGTGTGCCAGGAAGAGATGACTCGCAGCGCCTGCTATTGTTACTGCTGCAAAATCTCTTTGGGTAAAAGGAGCTGCCCAGGGTTTTCTTCGTGGCTTGGTGGTTTCTTCCCTTCCCTCACCTCTGCTTCTCAAGCAGAATCAGGAGAGCTGGATGTGGCTCTGGGCAGCCTGGTCTGGCGGTTGACAACCCTGCACACAGAAGGGGGGTTGAAACTCGATGATCGTTGTGGTCCTTTTCAACTATGATCCTGTGCAGCTTACACCAGTGTCCTGAGCTCAGCTCTACCCAAGCCGACGCAGATAGAATTGCAGCAAATTAGCGACAGTTGAGTGGTTTATTTCTGAGATGATGGTTTGAATGTCCATACGTAAGCATCTGCATGTAAGCATCTGTTCGTGTGCTTCCGGATGTTAATTCATTGCTCAGAGATGGAGCTCGGCTGTGCTGCCCAGAGGCCATAGGCTAAGCGGGTGGTTGTGCTTGTTGCTGGTGTTTATCTCCCTCCAGCATATCAAGGAAGCTGTAAGCTCAGCAACCGTTCTCCCAATTGCTTTCTCTACATAAACTGCTTAAGGGAAGTACGCTATGTACATAAGCCTCTTCACCAAAAAAAAAAAAAAAAAAAAAAAAAAAAAAAAAAAGCCAAACCAGCGTGAATAGCAATCAATAGAAGCAGCAGCCAGCGTGCTGATAACCGCCAAGGAAGCACGAAGCTCGTGTAGCTGTGACATCGCTGCCGGCGGGTGCTGCTGACTCACAGCGAGCACCGGCAGCCCGCGGGCACGGAGCAGCGCTCGGACTTCGGCTCCGGGAAGTGCCGGCAGCGCGTTGTTCCCCGCGGGACGCCGTGCTGCTGCTTTAGCAGCAAGAACCTGCCGCTCTGCTCTGCGGAGACGTGTGGGGCTTTTCGTTTCTTTCATGCGAAGATCCAACTGCAGCCATGCCGATGGAAGCGGACTGCCTGAGCCCAGAGGCTCAGAAACTGGTACGGCGGTAGGGGAGGGTTGGGGGGGGTGCTGCGGCTCTTATGGTCCAAATCGCAGCCGGGCAGCACCTGTGCTCATTTAACCCTTCGTGGGCTGCTCAGCCTTTAATCGGCTTTCACAATGCTTAATAAGCGGTGTCCCCTCTTGGGTGTGCTTGCCTTGAACGTGCCTGCCCCACTTTGAACCACAGTGGGTTTGGTTTTGTTACCTCTTGCAGGACAATATCTTTGCAGTCTGTGTTACAGCCCATGTCACACAGCTGTGTGTGAAGCTTACCGTGTGCAGTGAAGCTCTTGGCCACTTAGCGAGCTGCTGAGCAATGCTGTGCTCTTTAAGTTGCTTCTTACAGGTTTCTGCTGCGTGTGCCTTTGACTGAATTCAAACGTAATAATCATAGATGCTTAGAGAAATTCTGCTCTTTTCTTGTGTGTGTGTAAGATTTGGAACAGTCTGTGAGAATTGTCTCATTTTGGACGTGCTGTGTAATTTACAGCACCTCTGCAGCAGTGGGTGCTAGTGGGGTGCCTATTGTCGGCACTGACTAGCACCCACAAGTAGCTAATTTTTCCCAGTGCTTCGAGTTTTCTGAGCCCTTTTAAAAATTAAGTATAGAAATGTGAGTTATTTGCTTTTCAAATTGACATGGGAGCAGATACGCCAACTTAATGTCTTCTGTGCTTTGTAAGCGAAGTTTAAAAGCAGCCCTGTGTCTCCATGGAGCCATAATAGAGGAGTTACTGGGCTGCTGATGTGGGTTGCTGATTTTATGTCATTCTCCTGGTTCCTCCCTCATCATCATCACCCTGTGGAGCAGATGGAAGCTGTCAGACGTGTCCATAATGGTCCGCCCCGTGTCTGAAGGATGAAGGTGGCCTGTGGTTATTAAAAAGGAATCCTTATCTTTATATTTAGAAGTCATTTGCATGTAAAAGAAAGGTGAAGAGCTGGGCAGGATGTGGGCTGACCAATCCCTGTCTGATTCATCGGCTGATCGTCACATGAGTAAGTGTTCAAGGTGTGCTTAGGCTCCCAGCTCAGATGCAGAGAACATCAGGTGGATACACTGCTCTGACCTCCGAGCATCATCACCTACAGACACCTTTGTTTCAATGCATTCAAGGAGCATGTGATTATTCACAGTGAGCCCAAGTGAAGGCAAGATGAAGAAAAACACTGCTATCACTTAGCAGAGGTTGAGCTGGTAGGCATGTGTCTGCTGCCTTATGAGAATCTTGCAAATCAGGTGCTGCTTGTGCAAATAAACCTTATGCTCTTTAGGAGTACAGCAAACCTTGCCAGGTTTCTTTTGACTAGTGAAGCATGTGACTTATGTAGATGGAGTGAACAGTTGTGTAACACTTGAAGAAAAAGCTTTTCCATGCAAGGTACTGGGGCTGGAATGGCAGCACCAATGAGAAACTGTGCTCACAGCAAACAAATAGCTGGCTCTGTCTTAAGCATAAGGCAAGAAGCTTATGTTAGCCTGAGAATAGTTATTATAGGAATATGTAATAGCTACTGTGTAGTTTGCAGGTGTATTTTTCTGGGTAATGAGATCAGAGAGCTTTCTGAGCTTGATTTTGTGCTTACAAACCAACTCCTGCCTGTTAGTCTTCAAAGCGGATCGTTTTGAATATGTTGGATTTAAGGAGTGCTTTGTATAGATTGCAAACTATTACATGTGTAGCTGTGTGGTAAGTCAACACAGTCATTTTCCAGTGCTCAGAAAAGCAGCATAATTTCCTGCCTTTGTTGGCTGTTTCTTGGGGCTTCCAGTTTAACAATGACCCCTTGAACGTTTCAGAAAGAAAAAGCTCCAAGAATGCACACCTTCAGGATGTGTGTCATTAGCATCTATCTAACCAAGTCACCCAAAGAATTCCCTCCTCAAGACAGTAAAGAGCAGACATCTTCTCCAGGCCGGGAAGCCCTCATTTCGGTCCTCATTGCCTTTCAAGCATCAGTGCTGGATGCAGAGCAGTCCTCACTGGTTCCCTTCAGTGGCTGAAAAGGGTCAGGATGGCTTCAGCCATCACAGATTCCTAGTTCTCCCCACAGCCCGGAGCTGTGGGCTGGTTGATGTTGGAAGTGCTGTTCACCCTACCCAGCTCATACCCAATACCTGCCTTTTCTCATTGGTAGTGAGCCAGGTTACTCAATGTTAGGCTGCTCTGAGCTGAACGTACTGAACTCCTTAATGCACAACAAAGATCTGCACAGCACTGGATTTTTCTTTGGAAACCGACCAGGGCTGAAGAGTGCAGAACAAGAGCAACAAAAGCAGGCAGCGTTTTGCAGTGCAGTGGGGTGTTTGCTTTGGGGCTCTGTGTCTATAAATCACCCCAGGCAATTGCAATAAAATGACAAAAATGCAGGATGTGTAGCTGGAGTGTTTGAGCAACTCCCTTGAATTAAGGCGATTATTCTTCAGCTGGTGTAGGTTTCCATGTTCTTCTGAGCACTGTGCTGTCTCTTTTCTTGTTTTTCCCACAGGCTTTTACAGAAGCCCCTTAGGGTTTATTTTGGATGACATGCACAATGCAGCTGAAGCTGCCAGCGCTCCTTGTCAGATGCACAATAGTTCATAAAGGGAAGTTACAAAGGCTTTCTAATGAGTGCAATTAGGCTTTGTGTTTTTATTCGTGTGTGTTTGCCAGTGATCTGCCACTTCTGATTGAGGTATTGCTCATGGAGTCAGTAGTGAATTTTAGATGGGTTTAGGACTTGCTTCTTTCTATCTTAGTGATTTTCCATCTCGGATCCATTTAATAGCTATTTATTTTGGCAGCTTCGAGACTTCCATTTCAGCTCTTGCAGTCTGAGTTACAGAAGCCTGCATACATTCGTGTGTGCAGTATGATGAGCACTGAGTCCTTTGCAGGATTTGGGCACCCGCCTCTGCCTTGGAGGTGACTTGAGTCTGGTGTTGGACAGGTGCTTGGAATGGAGGAAGGCCAGATCCATTCAGACAGAGCCCGTTTTGGTGTAGACAGCATGGAGAAACGTGAAGTCAAAGCTGCCCCTTGCAGAAATCAGAGTATTTATAGCAGAACACTATTAATGCAAAAACAGAACCTAAGTGTGTGGTTTGATAAACACAGACAAGTTGAGTCACACTCCTGCTTTTGAGGAAGAGGTCCATAAGAAATGTGACACTGTTATATGTTTCTCTGAAGTCAGTTTGGCACATGTTAGGATCCTTTGCATGTCTGTGGCACGTGTCGTGTTGTTGGGATGGCTGCCACTGTCAGCAGGTGTGCTGTGCTTTCGCACAGGAGAATCTGTGATGGCTTCTGTTGGTCTTCATGCTTACTGCAGGCTTTGTTCCATGCTCGGCTTGCTTCTCCACTTTGAGTTGGAATTCAGTAAAACTGTTCTCATTGAGTGTGAGGTGTGGATTAGGACCCACCCAATTTGATTTATTTACACTGATCTCATGCGTGTTACCTCTTTTGTCACCTGGATACTTAGGGGATATCAGAAATGTTCATTCTGCTTCCATCATTTTATCAATTAAAGTGTGCCCAAATGGAATCCCACGGGGCAGCTGGACAAAGTGTAGAGCAGTGTGGTCTGAGTTGGATGCTGACCATGTTCAGAGGAGGAGGTTGGAGCCTGAATGCCTCTGTACTGTGTTGATGTGATAGCAGGGAGTTGTGATATTGTCCTTGGGAGTGTTCTGGATGGAATAAGTTTCTGTTGACTTCTTGCAAATGTATCAGTAGGGTATGTGCTAATGGCACGGTTTGATAAGCTTAAAAAAAGAAGTTCAAAAGCTATTTAAAAGGATTCAGAATATTTTGTTCTCTTGCTTGTCATGACAGATACTAACTGCTGAAGAACCATGTGGCCCTGGAAAGACAAAGTTCATAAAAAACATATGCTAGTTCCAGGATATAAGCCAAGCCAAAGATGCTGAAGGAAAATGTATTTTTACTCTTGCGTGTCTTTAGGGTTCGAAAATTGGCTTTGTATGAGCAGGCAAGGACTTCAAAGCTAAAATACAATAAATTAGAGACTACCCATGGATTGGCACTTGAAACCAAAATGTATCATATATATGTATATGTAACGTCATCTAATGGGATGTTCCACAAAGAAGGAATTCATTTATTGCAGTCAGTATCCAGGGAACAGGCAAGCCTTGTTCCCAGGGAGGACTTAGAATAACTTACAAAGCATATTTTTCTCCTTGCATCTTAAAAGTTTCTTCATTTTCCAAGTTGTTTCATTTCATTGTGTGCTGGAGAGAAAATGTATGCTTCTACAATACAGCTAGCAAGCTTGTGAATCCCTTTGCCCTTGTAATATCGCTCAGAATCACAGAATTGAATGGGCTGGAAGGAACTTCCAGAGATCATCGAGTCCAGCCCCCACACAGTAAGGCTCTGGAGGCAGAGAGGAGCTGAGTGTGCTCCCTGCCCAGCTCTCCTACCTCGTGCTGGGGGAACGGCTGGTTGTCCCACTGCACAGAGCCTGAGCTGACTTTGCACATGAGGTTTCCTGTTTTTGCCTGGTATTAAAAGCAGATAATTAAAACTGTTACTTTGTAGCATGTTCTGGCACTTCCAAACCCGATGAAATGAGGAAGCTTAATAGATCTCATGGGAGGCCCGTGCTTGGCAGGCATCCACTCCAGAGAGGTTTGGATTTGAATGCCGCCGTCTGGATGCTCTAGTTGAACTGATGTATTTTCTCAGGTTCCCTGTTTCCTTGCCTGGATCGTTCCAGCCTTGGCTGAGTGTAGTTGTTGTGCTGAGCTGCTGCGCCTGCGTGTGCACAGTATCAGCTCTTGGGGAAAATGGCACGTAACGTGTTTGCTGTTTGTCTAATTAATTCATCAATAAAAAAATAATGTGCACCGCAGGGAAGGGAAAAAAAAAAAAAAAAAAGAAAAAAAAAACAAGCCAGACCTGCCTTTCTGAAATAAGTAAATAAACCTGACTGTTTTCTCCATTGCAGCACTTCCTCTCTATCTGCACAAATAGTAATTACAGAGACACAGGGCGCATCTCAAGGCAGCTGCTCACTGGGGTTGGTGCCTACGCTCGGCTGTATTACCTGCTGGTGAAGCATAACGAGTTATGGAAGGCAGGGCCATTGCTAGCAGTAGGGAATTAACTCCTACAGGTGTGTTTACATCCTTACAGAGCTTAGCCTCCGTATTTGGCACCCTGAGCGCGCGTGCCTCACGTTGAACCGTGTGCCTTTGGTCTCATTGCTGTGTTCCCATCCGCAGGCTGAAGCAAGGCTGGCGGCAAAGCGAGCAGCACGGGCAGAGGCACGGGAGATCCGGATGAAGGAACTCGAGCGGCAGCAGAAAGAGGTACGTCTGTGGGGTGGGGGGGCAGGTGGCCCATCTGCTTTCTTATAGGTGATCTCAGGTCCTGGAGCAAAGGGTTAACCTATGCTTTGCTGAAGCCTTTGTACAGTGCTGCTCTGTTTGTGGATCACGGCAATGAAAATGACCGAAATTTGGGATTGTGACAACTACTGTGTTTCAGTGAAGCTGGTTTAATTATTCACAGAGAATGCTGGTGGTTAGTTTGTAATCATTGTTTAATATTAAACTTGGAGATCCATGAACTGCTTGTATGTGTGTTGGAAATGGATTCCTGGCACTATTAGAAATAGCGAGGAAGACTCCTGGCCCTCCTATAGCTCTCTGCTTGCAAACTGAGGTGAGCATCGTGATTGCCCTGTTTAGAAAAATGATGATCTGCTGTGAGCAGGAGGAAAACTTGGTAACCAAAGCAAGGGGACTGTATTTGATAAAACACAGCCCTCTGCAGAGGCAGTATGTGCAGAATCATGGGCCTCTGTTGTAGGAATCATCACAAATAACTGTGAAGACCCAAGCAGTTTGTTTTGCTTCTGTTGTCCTTGGCGTGCCAGAGCTGTACTCAGTGTTGTTAACTCTACTTCAGGAAACAGTAGTGGTTTATTTTGAAGCTGTACAAGTTAAAGCAATCAGAATGGGGCTACAAGCAGAGATTGGCATAGGCAGACCAGTGATGAGAACCAGCAGGGTTTAAAAATTTCATTAAATGCACACCAAGGAATGCAACAACAGAAGAGATGTAGCAAGGTCAACGACAATATTTATTACTTCAAATGAAGTAAGTTTGGATGGCAAAGGAGGATATAAGGAGTTTGGGAGGTATATGTGGGAAGATTAAAGGTAGATGTGTGCTTTGGGGTGCAGGGAAGGATTTGGTTTAGCTTTAAAATGGCGAATCAGGTTGCAGTAGCAGACCAGCATTGGTGCAGGCTGTAGTAACCACCCTGGAGCAGAAGCAGGTGGGCAATTTGCCCATACTGAGCATTGTGCCAAAGTGCCTCATCTAGCTGAGGCATGTTTGGATGTTTCTTAACACCCCTCAGCTGCAGTGAGGTTTAGATATACCTGCAGACACACCAGAAGTCAGAGCTGCTGAGGAGCATTGCTGCGAGCATGGTGCTTGTGGAAGAGAGGAACCTGTTAGTGCTCCAGCTGCTGCTTTCCGAAGGATGTTTCTTGTAACCTGGATCACATTCAGGAGGCCCAGACTGTGGATAAGCACTGGTACCATCAAGCATCGTGGTGTGCCTGTAGCCCAAGTGCTGGGATCAGCTCAGCAGCCTTTGGAAGCTCCGTGGCAAACAAGCACAAGGTGTTTTGTTTGGGCAGCAAACTAAATATGGGTGTCGTGGCAGCTGACAGTGGTGTTACCATCTAATTTGCAGATAATACTAATGAGACTTGATGACCCCTTGAAGATTAAAAGCTGATGCTGCAAAGAACATCCTTGTAAATTGAGATGCTGGTATGAAAGCTAAAGCTTGAAAAGATTCTGTGCGTGCTCCTGCAGATAACTGATCTGAAACTTGGTGGAAATTGCTTTATGTGGATGGAATTTGAATGGTACAGCATGTCATTCTGAAGTATGAAATTCAGTGCAAGCTCACTCAGATATTCCTTACAATCTGTTTTGTAATTCACTGGCATAGATCTCAAAACATGACTACACAATTGTTTAATATTTCGCAAGCTTTGGATATTCCCTGAATTTTTCACATAGCTTCATCTCAACCCCCAGATAGAAGGTAGAGCAAACGAGGATGTCTGCACGAAGCTATTTGTTGCCACAGATATATCACAAATAATGAGAGCACAGATAAAAAAGATTCCAAGTAGGAAGCAGCACAAGAAATTTGGCACTTTCCCCTTCTTCTTGGGAGAGAACAGACTGTGATACTGGTGCCTGTACAGCTTGTTGTCTGCCATCTTCCCCGTCCTTCTCAAACTTTTCAGGGCAATAAATAGCACATTCACACATGTCAAAGAAGAAGAACTTAAAGCACTCGCTCTGCTGCTTCAGGAGGTTTTTAGAGCCAGTTATGGGAGTTAAAAAGCAGTAAGTAAATTTATTGTGTATGTGTGTATTTCATGCTTAAAGCAGCATACTTGCTCTGACAGGCTTCTTGTGGAGCATGGATCTCTCAGGAATATAGGCATATATTGTTAGTCTAGGTTACAAGTTACCAGATGTTACTGTTACAAGCTGTAAACAAAACAGTATAGCTCCCACTGGCGCTGCAATAGGGTGTTGTAATGTTTGGATGTGGACAGGAAACTGGCTTCCCTCGTGCTCACCATCTAATATTAATGATGTTTCTTAGTCTGTCCCTTATTTTTCTAGCTTTAAAATAATGGGATAACTTCTGCATCATGAGTGTAAGTATATTATTTAAGTAATGTTTGCATTTCTGGCAAGAACAGCACACCAGGTATCTGTTGTTCTTGTTCCCATAAATGTTTCTATATGTAGGAGCAACCATTTTATTAGGATGCTATTAAAAGGCCACGTTCTGTAGGCTAGCTTATATGTGAAGAATGCACCAAAGATTAGTCACAACTGCATAATAAAGCTCATCAGTAAATGGTGGGGATACGTGACACCATGCCCAGCTCCTCGTTTGGTAGGATTTAATGCAGCACACAGAACTGGCAGCAGAAGCTCCAGCATAGTTGGTTCTTCTGGAAATTAAAATTGTATTTATCAGTCAGCTTGGTTTTGCATAGTGGTAAGCGTGTTTGCTTGCAGGTATGGGATGAGCCCCTGTTTAATGTCTATGCAGAAGGGTAGATTTAGTAAATTCAGGTTGAAATACAAGGGCACAGAGGGGCTTTTGAAAGAAAACTCCCTGCATTGCATTGTGAGATGTGGTAAAGCTCCAGGGAAAGGCTGCTGCAGGTCTCTGTGGTGGGGCAGGAATCCAGGTGTGTTTGGAGAGGTGGTTTTGTTTGATCACCTGATATCATCTTGGGACAGGCAGCAAGAAGGGCAGGCGTGCCAGGGTGCTCTCAGACAAAGGGAGCTGAGGGAGAGCGTGCCTCCAAGTTTCATAGAGATGTGAGCTGGGTAAATGAGGAGCCTGCTCTGAAAGAACACGAGCACCGGAGCTGTGATGTGATACGTACTGATCTGTGAAGATAGAGCTGGTGGTCAGTCTCACATCACATGCATTTGGCAGAGAAAGGGTTCCTCATCATGAGGCTCTAGGAAAGGCACGGATCTGCTAAACACAGCTGCGGGAACTTGTTGTTCTGTGCTACTTGTTGTTCTCCACCAAAGATGTAAATGATTAATAGGGAGGTTGCTGTAGGTTTTCCTGGCATCTTTCAGCACGCAGTCTGTGCGGGAGAGGCAAATGCCAATGCACTTTCTCAGCTGTGTGGGTGGTTGCAATAGGTGGCACTTAATGCCCTGCCTGCTTCCAGGCTGCAGGTCCCACCCTGCTGGGCCCTGTGTTTTCCCCTGCCACGCTGCCATGGCCTTTAAACATTTGGTTTACAGTTGCTGAGTCAAAGGTCAGTCGATCTGGATCCTACTGTAGAGTTATGTTTGGTACCGAGTCAAATACTTGTGTGCATTCTGACATTTATTTTTAATTCACACAGCAGAACAAGGCAGGAGTTGGCTCAGTAGCTCCGAGTAACAAACTGTAAATTCTAGTGGGGTTACCAGGTTAAAGAGAAGATTTTTTGGTGTGTATTTTTCCCTTGCAGTAATACTTACTTCTTTTTTCTTTTTTTTTTGAGAAACGTTTAACTGTTGAGTATCAGGACACTTTAAAGCCTCAGCATTAATGGCTAATTGGGAAGAATGTTTTATGCAGGAGTACGTTCTGCGTTCTGCTGGTAAGACTCAGTTGTCTCTTTGAGGACTGACAGTGGGAGACCACTGTTTAAGCTGATATTAAAGCCTGAAGGGAAGAGAGAGAGATCTCCTCCCACTCTGTAATCTGCAGGATAAGGTTCCTGCATGGCAGTTCATGCAGCAGATGAGCCTCTGCTTTTAGTTCAGGGCAAGTGCTCTGTACGTGTCTCCTCGCTTCATTTTCAGCTTAGCACACTTGCCTTTGCAGTTTTGTACATTCCTTCTTTGCCAACAGACTTATTTGCACATACTTCCCTCTTTGAATTCATGTTTCGGTGAAGTAAAATATGTTACTGGTATTTCGTTGTGGTTGTTTTCTTTTTTTTCCCCATGTCATTTGCAGCCTGTGAATGTAAACGTACTAAAGGCAAGCTAATGTGAGAACACCCTTGATCTGCTTTCAGGTCCTGTTGATCATGACTTAGGCCCTTTTTTTCCCTTGCTAGGATTTAGTGGCTGCAAGCCTGAGCTGAGTCAGCAGGTCCTGTGTGACAGCTGGCATTTGGAAGTGTTTGGAGCCATTTCAGATCCTAGGCAGTGCAGGAAAAACTAGAGAAGAGCATTGGTGTTTGAATGGGAGGCGGGAGGCTGACCATGAAACTTGGTGCTGATGTATGTGGAGAAGAAACTAAGGAGCTCTTGAAGGTTATTTGTGTCTTTCTTGCACAAATGGTGTGAAGGTGCAGATGGCACTGCACTGATTAGAGATGGGTTGCATTGAAGCAGAGCTGTTGTGACCGCGCTATGGGCTGACCAAAAAAACCCCAGGTTTCTGAAATGTTGAGGCAGTTCTAATGATGCACTTGGCTCTGTCCCTGTGCTGCTCTGCACTGCTTGCAGTGTCTGGTCTGAAACAAGGGCCTCGTTGTTGTCTTGGCTGTTGGCAGTCTGGGTCCTGGGCACACAGGGCTTTCTGCACACAGCAGGGACACCTGCTACGCTGAGCCTGAAGCACTGCATTTGAAAAATAAAGGATCTATGGTGTTGTCCCAAAGGCACGGAACAGCTATCAGAAAGCATCATCCACGTGCAAGTGGTGTCAGTGTGCCCCAAAGCTTGGCTGTACCTGTTAGCCAAGCCCTGGCAGGGTATGTTTAAAAGGAGCATACTGTGGGTGAAACAA